TTTCGAAACAATATATTGAATTATGTAAATCTCATATATTAATAATGTATATTACTCATGTGTCAGTTCTGAATATATCAGACAGCATTTCATTGTCAGTTGCTGCTCATCTCTCTATCATCTATCTTAGCGCCTCTGTCACTATCTACTCTATCATGTCGTGCAATGATAAAGTCCTCTATAACTATCATCTCTTACAATTAATATTATTCTATACCATTAAGACTTCATCCTAAATCTACTAGCGCTTTATTATCAAAGCCATTCATTTTCAAATATTGAGGTAACCTATAATTTTGAAGAGGAAGGCAAGTGGTCGTATCATAAGAAGATGGTGCTGAGTGAGGTGAGCACGCTGGATCGAGAAATATTACTCTGCGCCTGAAAGCAGTCTGGCATTAGAAAGGATCAATGAATTGGCTAGCGCGGCTATGAGAAAAACTGTTACTACATATCTGACGCAACCCCGAGATCTGTTTCAGTCCGCGGTTCTTCCAAATCTTTTTTTTTTCCACAGCATCTACTATATTTTTCTCCACCTTACTTTATGGGGTGAAATTGCTGGTATCTGATTCTGCAAACGAAATCTGCATGCACTTCTGGAAATGGAAGTGGATGTTATAATTGGCCGTTTTGTCTACTATCATTGTGGTCAACGCATAGTACGAGGTTTGAACGATTAACCTGGGAACGGCCTGCTCGCTGATGCTTTATGGCTCTCCTGTCATTCGGGACTGAGACAGAGGCGCTAAGATAGCACGCTCGCTCAGTCAACAACAGCCTAGGTCACTGTAACGGAGGCGTCGAGAGACAATTGAAGCACTCAATGATAGACCTCTAATCATAAGCATTCGGTTTTTATGCTGCAAAAGAGGAAATGAGGAAAAGATGAGGAAAAGAGTAACATGACATATTATTCATAAACCAATCATGGAAAAAAAGTTTTTGAGTCCAAGTGACTTTGCAAAAAACATTTTTTGAACAAATATTTGCCGCTGCTCAGCG